TGCCTGTGGGACATCAACTCTGTTGTTTGTAACCCAAAGCTGCTCAGGTAAAACAGGCCAGAACAATAAGAAATAATTATATTAGAATAAGATGAATGTAAATATAAATCTACATCCAGATATAAATCTACATGTAGATATGAATCAGATGGATGTAGATAAAAAGATATAACTGATACTATGACAAACCTTACAAATATCATGAGGCAAGCTAATTTACTGTTTTGTTATTTAATACAGAGGCACCTGCTTTCTCTGTAAGTTCTTCAAGATTCTGTGTCATCCCTTCCTGAACAAAATCCAAAAGCACAAAAACTAAAAGGTGTTTTCCTCATTCCACCACTCCAGATCAAATATGTATGAGTATGTTTGAACAGGGAAGGAATATTACTTTTTATAAAGAGTGGCAATTCTGGCAGTTGGCTACCAACAAAAAGATATACAATTACTGCCCTCCTATTTGCAAATTTCCTTTTGGAATAGAGTTTATAACTTCATTCCTTAAAATTAATTTTGATCCAAACTTGTCATACAAGTCTGCGGTCTGAAACAAAAAATTATTTTGCGACATTAGAACTAGTGCATTCAGGTATTTCTGCTTGCTTAGAGGCGACAACAACAAATAATAGAAAAAGGCATGCAAAGCTGGAGCCACTTTTGCAATGCCCACCCGGATTGCACTCCCCTCAGATTTTATGGCAGGTTATAACCGATCGTGCTCTTCTTTTTTCCCCCGTGAGAGTCATTACTTAAGATCTTCGGAAGCAACTGCCGTCATCTACATGAAATTGTGCAAGGCATTTGACGTTGTCCTACATGACATCCTTGTCTCTAAACTGGAGAGACATGGGTTTGATGGGTGCACAACTCTGTGGATAAGGAATTGGCTCAATGTTGCACTCAAAAGGTTGTGGTCAACAGCTCGATGTCCAAGTGGAGAGCAGTGACGAGTGACATCCCTCAGGGGTGGGTATTGGGAGCAGCACTGTTTAACATCTTTGTCAGTGACATGGACAGTGGGACTGAGGCTCCCTCAGCAAGTTTGCTGATGACATCAAGCTGTGCAGAGTGATCAGCTCACTGGAGAGATGACATCCAGAGGGACTGGAACAGGCTGGAGAGGTGAACCTGTGCAAACCTCATGAAGTTCAACAAGCCCAAGGGCATGGTGCTGCAGCTGGGTTGGGGCAATTCCAGGCACAGATACAGGTTGGGTGGAGAACAGAGAATTGAGAGCAGCTCTGAGGAGAAGGACTTGGGGTTGCTGCAGGATGAGAAGCTCAACATAACCTGTCAGTGTGCACTCACAGCCCAGAAAGCCAAACATATCCTGGCTGCACCAAGAGATACAGGTCAAAGGAGGTGATTCTCCCCCTCTACTCTGTTCTTGTGGGACTCCATCTGGAGTACTGTGTCCAGCTCTGTCTGGGGCCCCCAACACAGGAAGGATGTGGATCTGTTGGAGTGAGTCCAGAGGAGGCCACAAAGATGATAGAGGGCTGGAGCACCTCTCCCGTGAAGAAAGGCTGTGAGAGGGATGGGGTTAATCAGCCTGAGAAGGCTCCACAGAGACCTTAAAGCATCTTCCAGTACCTAAAGCAAGCTACAAGAAAGCTGGAGAGGGACTTTTGACAAGAGCATGTAATGATAGAACAAGGAGAAATGGCTTTAAATTGAAAGAGAATAGGTTTAGATATTAGGAAGAAATTCTGTCCTGTGAGCATGGTGAGGTAGTGAAACAGGCTGCCTAGAGAAGTTGTGGATGTCCCAGGGATGTCCCATCCCTGGAAGTGTTCAGGCCTAGGTTGGAAGAGGCTTGGAGCACCCTGATCTAGAGGAAGGTGCCTCTGCCCATGGCAGGAGTTTTGAAGTACATGATCTTTAAGGTCTCTTCCTACCCAAACCATTCTGTTTCTATGATCTTTGAGTTTTTCAGAATATAGTAGCTAACATGCTGTTACCTATAGATAAATAATAAAAGGATAAAATGTTTAAAGATATGAATTATAAAAAGCAATACTTCCAGTCAAACTCCTCCCTTACTCTGGGCTTCAGGGAAATAAGTCAGCAGGGGAAAACTGCTGCAGATTTTTCCACAAAGAGATTAGCTGTGTAATAAATCCATAGGTACAAAAAGGAGACACTTTCCCCTTCTTTTTTTTCTTTTTGTTTTTCTGGTAGAAAGGGTGCAGAGCTTAAGTCCATGATAATAAAATCCTAATACAACTTTCTCTCTGACCACTAACATTGGAGCATTTTTCAGTGAAGTCAATCTTCTGATGACTCATGTTGTCTTGGTGCAAGAGCCTGGGTGGGGGGGAGGGACACAAACAACAAAACACAGCTATCTTGATCTATTTAAAACCCTCTGCAAGAAAAAGCTTTCAGAGGGAAAGTAGGAAGATCACAACCTAGCCTGATTCAGCCTCATCTGCTTCCACCAAGTACTGATCAGCCCGTGATTCTTGTTCTTGCCATGGAACTCACACCCAACACCTTACACGCCTTACTCTACCTAGAGTCTGTTTCACTTAAATGAGCTAAAAATGACAACTGCTTCTCACAGGGAATGTAAATATGCCTGGTTTGAGCACAGCTGCAGTAGTTTGGCAAGTTGTCTTTTTGTCTGTGTGTGGCTTGGAAATAAAGTCACTTATCAAAGTATCTGAGATTGCTAGGATACTTTTTATATTAGACTGCTGTCATTTGCCATTATCACTTAAAAGTATCAGAATCACTTTATCAGAGCAGACTAAAGGTTGCTGAACTGTGTATGTAATTGAGAGCCCTTAAAATGGTCCAGTCCTTCAAAAGGAAATATAACTCATAATCGTTTTATATAGCGCTGCTCATGGAAATTTTTCCCAATTCAGCATCTAACAAACAAAATCTGCATTAAGACTCTGCAATCTCATCTTTGTTTACTGCAATGTCAGGAGCCAGCATTTATGTAATTGCCTGACCATCCCACCTTTTAGGTCAAATTGTTTTCCACAACAGCCAGCAGCAAAGTCCCATCCCTTGCCCTTTGCTTGAGAAATACATCCCTGGTTTTATCTGGTTTTGCCTTCCCCCTGCATTACAAGATCACTTTCCTGATCCCAAGAGCCTCAATCCCCTCCCATGACCTTGAAAAGGGGGAATTCTAAAGCAGCTCCCAGGTGGGAGGTGGCAGAGTCTCCAGCTGGTGTGAGTCTCAGCAGGTTTTGCTGCAGCTGAGTTGGGATTACCGGGGCTGCTGCCAGCCCAGCGGCTGGGCCCCCACATGGGAGCCACGTGCAGTTCAGCAACTGCAGCTTAGTCACAGAGTCACAGTATCCTCCTACTTCTGTTCCCAGAGCTTTACTTGTAAGGAAATGCCACCTTTGCTGCCCAGCAGTGCTAGTTTTCAGCTGCTCTTCCACCAAAACTTTTCTCTTGTATTCTTTTTTTTGAATGCAAAGGGGATGGATGCAACACTCATGGTGATACCGCACTAATGTAATATTATTCTGACGTTACTCATAGTCTAGATCAGCATCACATTGTCTCTTGTGCAACATTTAAACAGTATTGTCTAAATCCATACCAGGAGAAGTTACTAGGAGATCAAAAGGAGCGAGGGTGAAACTGCATTAGCTGCTTTTGTCTGAGGTTTCACTGGCGCTCCCGAGCAGAGGTTGTAATGTGGTTTTCAGCCGACTGGGCGCAAGGCAGAAGGGAGCCATGCAGCAGAACAGGTTCTCCCTCTCACCCTTGTCTTCAGGAGAACAAAACTTTACCATCCAGCACAGGGCACCACATCTTTTGCCTTGTATTTGTTCAGCCACGCAAAGATTGGCAAGCTGATGTGTTAGGAAACCAGGGTAATCCCTCTCCTTGTTGCTGACTTTTTTCCTGGCATCTCCCCAAGAAGGGAGGGGAACAGAATTAAAAACATTACAAAAAGAACAAGCATCGCCAAACTGAAAATCACCCAGCCTTATAAAGTTCTTCTTTACCCTAGAAGGGAAAACCTTCTAAAATATGTATTGTTAAACATAATGTAGGCTGACTGTTTTAACTTATACAAACATCTGCCAACTAGTACCATGTCTGGAGAGCTCATGCTTTACTACAATGTCCTAACAGTTGGGACATTGGGACAAAATAAAGTGCTACAAAACATCTGAATTTAGGCAAAATTAAGAATTTAGGCTGAGAGAAGATTTTTTCTATTTTTAAAAGAAAAAACAAACAAACCCAACACCACCAAACGAGCGCTAAATCTGAGAATAATAATACGAAGTGACATCTCAGTACAAGGAGATGTCTACAAACTTGGTGTTTCAGTCTCTGAGAAGAGAACTTAGGTTATGGAAGGACGTAGGTATTTATTAAATAGTTATCCTATTTTATGTACACATCGTATTGCAATCAGTAAGTACACTTTAATACTAGAACTTAATATTAGAACAATATAGACACCCAATTCTGAGGTATTTACTTCAGGAAATGAAAAAAAAAGTAGAGAAAAGCAATACAATCGGGATAACATAAACCTGATTAATTGCTGGTATCCAAGGATGATTACACAGGAAAGAAATGCAAGAGGTGGGGGAGGCAAGTATCCCAGACCTATTTAGAAAGAGGAAAAAAGAACTCCCCACAGTACATTAAGACACTTCCTGAAAAAAAACAAGAGTCATTCCTAGGCTTTGCTCCAACTTCCATGAATTGCTGCCTGCAGAGTAACCATGACTCGATCCTTCTTAGATTCTGTTAAAGAGGCACTGACCTTCAAACCAGCACTCAAACAGAGCAACTGTACTGTCTGCCGGGAACAGCTTACCAAAACTCAGGCCATGTATGGTGCAGTTAATACAGGCATTTGTACATTTTAGGTATGCTGAGTTATCATCACTGCCTAATTGTTCCCTTTGTGGGGGGAAAAAAAGCAAGCCACAAACCCCCCTCTCTTGAATATGCAGATTTCTGTGTCTAGTAAGGCAGCTCGGAAATAACTTACAACAACAGAAGAATTCCAGATGTTAAAAATATCATTTAATTAAAGAAACATAAATCATACCAAAAGTTTAAGTCACTCTTAGTTAATACATTTGCATTTATTTTAGAATATACTCTACATCTGAGTAAAAAAGGTTTAAATAAAACTCCAGTACATGTACAACCGTGGGACCCGCAATCTGTCCCGCAACAGAGGGATGCTCCTTAGCCCACTGGGTTCCCTCCGGGGTAACAGAAGCAATTTAGTGCCAGTTTCGTTATGTTCATCGGCTTGGGTTGAGCCTCCTTATCAGCCAGCCACACCACCACCTAGTACACGTAGGTGTTCAGCCTCCCCGCCCGGGCGGGCACAGCAACTGCTCGCCCCGGACCGTACAGTGAAAAAACCACGGAGGGGGTCAAAATAATTAATAAACTAGTATTGATTAATTTACATCTCTCTCTCGCTTGTGCGTTGGTAGAAAACCTGCTGCAGTCCTGGGAGTGCGCAGGGGAGCCTCGGCCCGGGGCGCTGCCCCTCGCCACCGCCGCGGCAGCAGCGGCAGCGCCGGGCGGGGACGCGCCGCTCCCGGCCAGGCGCCCCTTTCCCGCTCCCCACCCCGACGCTCAGTGCCCCCAGCTGCTGACGCCGATCTCCTGCTTGTATCTGTTGGTGAGGACGTTGGCCTTGCGGGTGAGCTTGGAGAGGACCGAGTGGAGTCCGCTGAGGTGGAAGTGGAACTGCTGCTCCAGATCCTCCTCCCCCTCACCCTCCTCGGCGGGCCCGCCGCCCAGCTTGTCCTTCTTGCGGGCCGCCTCCTCGCCCGCCGGCGGCTGCACCACGCCCCACTCGATGTCGTTGCGGATGGACTTGAGCAGCATGTAGTGGCTGTACATGTCCCTGCGGGAGAAGTAGGCGCCGGGGTCGCCGGGCGACAGGGCAGCATCCCGGGGCGGGCACACGGCGCCCGCCGCGTCCAGCTCCTCCAGCAGCAGCGGCACGTCCCGCAGCAGGCTGGGCACCATCACCGTCTGGTCCATGTTGTTGACGGCGCCGATGAACCGGTTCATGGCGTTGAAGAGGGAGTACTTCTGGCTGTACGAGTCGCAGATCTGCATCATGTCGGCGGCTGGGCGGGCGAGCTCAGCGACGAGGCTTGGACCGGACCGCAGGGCTCCTCCGGCGGCGACCTCTTCCTCCTCCTCCTCCTGCTCCGCGTTAGCGGCACCAGCCGCCCTCCGCCGCGGGCTGGGCTCGGCGGCTGCTGGCGAGCAGAGTCCTGCTGGGAGGAGGCGGCGGGCGCCGCGGTTAGGGGCTGCTCGCTCTCCCACCCTCCTTCTCCCTCCTCCCTCCCCCAGCCCGCCTTCCCGTCCCGTCCCCTCCCGCCAGCGCCCCCTCCTCCTCCCCCGCCGCCTCCTTTATTCCCGGTCCCATCTCCTTTCCTCAGCATTTCCCTTCCCGTTCCTTCTCTTCGCCCTCCACCTCCCCTGCTGCAGCAGCCACTCCCGTCCGTACTAAACGAGGCAAAGGGCGAAAAAATGCCCCGCAACTCCTCCCGGGAGCCAGCTCGAGATGGATGGCAGCCCCGCACCGCAAAATTAAAATTCAAGCGGTCCCCAGCCGGCGATCCCCGGCCGAGGGACGGACACGCCGCGGGGGAGGCACCCACCGTGCTCCGGAGGCCTTCGCCGCCGCCCGTGGCCGCGCTCCCATCCCCGGCGCCGTATTTATAGCCCGTATCTCACACCAAGGTGTTCCCCAGTGCCACCCCCCGCGCCGCCACCACAGATAAAGGCGGCGGGCGGCGGCCGCGCAGCGCCGGCCCCGCCCCTCGCCCGCAGCGGGGGAGGGCGCCGGGAGCACATCCCGCACCGCCGCCCGAGGGGGGCCGGGAGCACATCCCGCACCGCCGCCGAGGGGTTCGGGACACGGCGGGCTCGACGCTGGGAACTGCGGGGCTGAGTCCCCGGGGGAACCGCGCTGGATCCCGCCTGCCCGCTCCCCGCTCCGGTTAGGCGACGGTGGCAACCCCCGCGCCCCAACCCTGGGAGACGGCACCGGCGGTCGCAGAACCCTCCGAGCCACAGGCACCACCCCGAGCGGGGGTCGGCGGCGAGGGGCGCGGTGCCCGAGGGGCTCCGTGACCGAGCAGTGCCAAAACACGTCCCCGACCCCTCCTCACCGCCCGCCGCCCCTCACGGCGGCCGGAGGGGGCGGAGCCGCGCTGCGGGCGGGGCCGCGCGGTTGATTGACAGGTGACTGACGGGCCGTGCCGCGGGGACACGCGGGCCCCGCGTGCCGCCCGCGTTCCCCCGGCCCGCCCATTGGCTGCCGCGCGCTCGGCGAGCGTGACGCCGGCCCCGCCCCCCCTCCGCGCTCCGCGTGCCCCGGCGGCGGCTATCGCAGCGCGGCGGGCGCTCGGCCGGGACCGTGTCCCACGGCCGCCGCTCCCCGCCGCCCTCCCTCGTCCCACCGCACCAGCCCGCGGGAGGGGAGCTCGGGCAGCCCTCGGGCAGCCTTTGTCTGCGGTCCGGGGCAGCGCGGGGCGGCCGGCATCACCCCACAGCCTCACCTCCCGACCGCAGCCAATCGGCGCGCCGCCCGGCGGCCCCTCCGGCCAATCAGCAAGCCCGCGGCGGCAGCCAATGGTAAACAAGAGCGCCCCCTCCCTCGCGCGTGCCCCCGCCCTGGTAACAGACGGGTTGGGCGCGAGCGCCGCCGCGGGTCACGTGGGGCCGGGATGAAGGGGGTGGGGAGCGTTGCCATGGCAACGGGCCGAGCATCACCCGGAGGCGCCGGGGCCACCGCGGGCGGAGCGGCTGCGCCGGGGGCGTCCCGTGCTCGCATCATCCAGAGCATGAGGCAGCGGATGCGCAGGGACGAGTAGCTGGGCCTGAGCGGCCGCGAGACCTCCACGCCCCCGCCGGCGCTGCCCCAGCTCCTGCCCGCAACGCTGCTCCCCGCAGCCCCTGTGAGACCCCGGTGCCGCCCAAACTCCAACCCGAAGGCTGGAGGCCGCTTCCCTGTGTGAGGGATGGGGCCGCAGGCAGCTCGTGCGCTGAAAATACTTGTGGTTAAGCAGTAGCCAGAGATATGGGCTGGTGTAAAATTATGAGCTGTTCGCAGATAATTCATTACGGAGAAAATAAAAAAAATAATCTCACCAAGCCAGAAAATTGGCCACGACTTATATTTGCATCTATATACATGCAGTGTGTCGTTAATACACCATTAACGGTTTTGCTGCCTTTAATTGAAATACAGCCTGCACTGAACGTTCAATAAATTGGAAAAAGCAATAAATCTTTAGAAACAAGGGGAATTGGTTTATTGTTCAACTTTCCAAATTAAAACAAAACAATTAACCATCTGAACAAATTAAAACTGAAGTCTTTTACCTGAGGTTACAGCATGCTGGCTGCCCAGGAGGAACAGTTGGCAGAGATAACCCAGCTTGGAGCTGCAAGCGCTTGTGTCTTCAGTGCAATGATACTACAAATACAAATTGTGGACGGAGCACAAAATAATTTTCACCAACACCTACTCTCTTTGTTTCCCAAAATGTATAGCCACATGGTCTGCTTCCACCTTTGGCTGTAAATGTTTCCTTATTTTAGGGTATCACTAGTGCAGTGCTGTAGCCTGTGCAGGCATGTGCCTCACCCATTAGGCTGAGACAGATCATACTCAAGTCAAACTTAACAGCATAAGGCAAGGCAAGGGGCTTTTCTTGTTTTTTTTAACTTCCTTATGTTCTGATAAATTTTGATATATGGTGTAACTGTCTCTGGTACATATAATGTATATCATTAACACAAACCTGAGTAGGTTTGATTGCTCTTTGGTTAAAATGAAATAAAGGAGCACATATTCCTAACTTCAGTGGTATGTAATTGCCATGGCTGTGCACACAAGAGAAAAAGACATGGCACTTTTTTTTTCCCCACTCCTCTTAAGAAAAGATGATCCCATTTAAGGCACAAACTTTTATATGCAAGTGGCACTTGTTTAAAATGCTTCCTCTTTAGAATTATCTGGTTATCGTGGCCTGGAAGGGGAATCAGCTGGAAACCCTTTATCTCGTGTCCTGAGCAATGAGAAAGCTGCATATTCACTATCTGGCAGTTCAAGAAGGTGTAAACGTGTACTTTTTCCCAGTACAGGGTCCTGGATAAGGAAAACAATACAACAACATGAAACAGTAGACTTTCTCCAGCACCTTAACTGGATGGAGCATTCCTTATGTACAAGCCCAGCAGTGTTGGGGTGAAAACACCTCTCTGCCTGAATAGATTTGGTGCCATTATTCAGGAAAGCAGAGGTCACATATAAGTTACTATATTATTTAAAACCATTTAATTTTCTCTGTAATGAATGAGATCTGGTGATGTTCAGCTCTTTCTGGACAAGAGCCTTCTTCCTTTCTTCTTCCTGAAGAATAACAGGGACGAACTATAGTTATTACTATTTAGCTGTTACTGAGCTGTTACCAGCATGAACTGTTTCACTCAGCTGTACACCAGTCTTTAGCCCCAGTAGCACTGAGGTTGCTGTCCCAGTGCTACAAAGGTTGGCTGCAGGATCAGTGCTGTTACTGGCCTGTTTCCTCTGGCAACATTAGCAGCTGTGCAGTGTTTTTCAAGAAAAGACAGATGATTCTGTCAACTTGCGTGGGTTTTCATACCATTTGCAAGGCCTATCTAATTTCTCTCTGCAGTGGCAACAAGATAACTAAACGTCTTTGTTCACAGTTTTCCCAAGACACATGCTGGCACAAAAGTAGTGCCACTGGCACACTGCAGACCAGCAACGGCTACACTTTGGGAGATAGGAAGTCGTTCTGCTGCACAGTGTTTGCAAAATAAGATAAGATCTTGTGTGGGCAAAAAGTGATAAATATGTGCAAATATTTAGCGTTGCATTCTGCAGCCTGGGAACACCATTTGGGCCAGCCTTGTAAGAGCAGCATCTCTTGGGAATTTCACTTCCTCTCATAATCTGTTGTCAATGTGACACAGCAGATTAGAGTTCAGCCTTGGAAACTGCGAGTTGTTTCCTTCTATTCCTATTTGACACACATTTTTGCTCAAACTTGTGAACTGCTTCCATCATTTTTGGGAAGCAGTACAGATGCATGCATTTAACACTTCTTTCTCTTTCTGAAACCGAGTCCAGTTGTACCAAACTCTGAACTGAAGAAAGCCTTCATTCCTCATCCAGAAGGAATGTATGTAAATTTATCATCTTAATTGATGCCTCTCCATGAGTTTCATATAATCAGCCCTTGTAGCTTAACATGCTAATGAACAGGGTAAGTAGAAACCTAATATGTTAAAGGAATGCAGACCAATTTGTCTGAGTCCTGCTGAGACCTGCAGTGTAAGTTTTTCAAAGACTTACTCATCTTTGTCCTATCTTTCACTCAGCCACCTTTTACACCTATTTCTGTTGGTCCTCTGTGAGCAGAGCTATTCTCCAAAGTGGACAGAAACCTCTGTGAGGATGTGCAGAGGGGTCAGGAATAGAATGCTTGGAGAAGGCAGCGGTGATGGCAAATCCCTCTTACCTTTGGCACACGTGCAAATCTGGGCGAGATCTCACATTGCCAGAAGCCACACAACAAGGGCTCTGCAGCGTCATGTCTCGGCACAGCACAGCAGTGTTTTGTGTGCAGGGTGACAAGTGTGGGAGTCCAGTGGGACCTCTGCTGGGACTGGTATCAGGGAGCAGTGCTGGGCAGGGAGGTGGCCATCTCAGGCAGCTCCTGTGAAGCCCCTCTGAGCCGCCTGGCTCTGCAGTTTGCACCTGGATCTCTCCAGACCTGTCAAGTCCTTGCTTCCTCAGAAGCTTTCCTGAAAATAATTACATGTACAGCTTCAATCTATTTGCCAGTTACTGTGTGTTTTCAGCTAGCTAGCACTGCGAGATCGAAACAGGCGCTTCCTCCTTAAAGGAGCCGATGGGATAAATGCTGCCACAGATTGTTCGCATGGTATGTGCATAGCATCCCTCTCCCCTACCTTTTGCCAGCCTCATCCATCTTTTCTGGAAGCTGGTCGAAGCAGGCACTGTGGTGTGCAGTGCCCAGGACAGCAGCAGCCCTTTTCAAATGGCTCCTTAGTGCTGCCATAATAAGCCTGATAAATAAAACATGGCTTGCAGACACGGATTTACTGGAGAGGGCTAAGGGGGCTGTAGCTCCCTCATTAGTATCTCCCGGTGCAGCATGTGTGCTCCTCATTATGTGGCACAGTGGCGGTTGTCTAGTCATCCACGCTGAGGCTGCAGCCACTCCAAGGATGCACCAGGGATCCCAAGGATTCTTTTTTTTTTTTTTTTCCTCCTGTGTTAATAATAGGAATTTACAAGATGGGAAAAAAAAAAGAGGAATGAAGAGGATGAAGGGGGGATAGATTGTAACCGTGTCTGATTTTCTCTCCCTTGCACCTCTATAAGTCAGCAGCAAATGCGGGGAAATCCATATAGCCGTGCTAATATGGAATTGGCACGAGTAGGATCGAGACCTCTGGACTGCATGAACTGCATGGGGAGCTTTGTTTCTGTTCAGTCTAAAATGCTGCTTCTAAACTCGTGGCCAAAGTATAAACTTTATCATCTCCCTCGCAGTTTTTGTCTTCTGTTCAAGGGAAAAGAAGCAATTTGGCTGATTTCAAGTCCTTTAAAGCTGGGGACTCAGGAATCTGGGTTAATCTGAACAGGGTTTGTGGAGGTTTGATCCAGCTTTTCTTTCCGGCCACCGCTTAAATCCCTCCTACCTCCCGCATACAAGTTACAACTGCATCATCGTAGTAACCCTGTGACCAAGAGGCATGAGAGTCTCCTCTGAGACTGT